GTGGGATCTCTGTGGTGAGTGTTTCCCAGGCAAGTGTTCTTTTATCAAACCAATTCCACACTAGCAACCACTAATTGAATGTACTTTATACAAGTTGCAACAGGCTTTGTAGAAATGAGGTGTTCCATAAGACCACATTGTAGCTGACCAGGTGGTATTACTGTACTATGCCTGACTGCCACTCATGGACTTTCAGGAGTAAAACATAAGGAAATCCTGCCCATCCCTGCTGATCATCAGGTTGAATAAATTTGGGTAGATTTGCTTTTAAAAATTTAGGAAACTTGGTTCGCCTATTGCACTGTTTCCAGAGCACTGTTCCTCAGGACTCCCCAATGTTCATTACCCCCCCAGATTCTACTAGTGGAGTTAGGGAGTCCTTACTACATCCAGTTTCCAGTCACTGGGGTGGTGGACAGAGGCTTTTCCTCCAGAGTGTTAGAGTGAATTCTTCCACTCTTGGAAAAGAGGGGGCGAAGTTGGGGGCTCTCCTGCCTGGGTCCCTGGATGATTTTCTCAGATGTTGGTAGGTGTGGCACCAGTCTATGCGGCTGCCTACTCATAGTACTGGATACAGGTTTGATGCTCCACTATCTGGTTGAAGTGTGTTTGGCTATTCTGTTTGATCAATATAGATTCAGTACATTGTTCATAGAAGATGGTAACTATCTCCTCATAATTATAAATGCAGAGTGGTCCCGTCCTGGGTCCTTGGTTGAGCACAGTTGTTCCACGTCTACCCCATAATTCTGGGGTCAAGTGGAATATACTTTGCCCACATGGTTGGAGAGTGAGGATGAATGTTCATAATTCCAGACCGGATGAGTTCTGTTTCCTTTGGTTGAGTAAGGCATACATAATCCCGTCATTCTGAGCCTGAGGTGTTACCTTTCAGGCTTCTTTGGGTGGGGGAAAAGGTTTGTCCACTTCGGTGTTACTTACTTTCTCATTGTGATTCCAGTGGCTCAGAATGCATCACTCTATGGCTACAGGTTGGGATCCACTCATAAGTATATATAATATAATGTAGCAGTCTAATTGCCCTAGCCACTAACATGGGATATAGGGATCAAGACCCCTTAATTCCAACCCTGAGTAGTATAACCTCGGCTATCTCGTTAGAGCTGGCCTGTAATGATGATCACTCGTATACAATTCAACCCATCACTCAGAAGTTAAGTTGAGAGGGAAGAGCATACCTGTTCTGGATGTAGTGTTTTCCCCCATCCCCCAGGGTGCCATTCTTCTATTGACACACCCTTGATCTATGCACATGCTTTCTGCATGAATAATGCCCTCTCTGACCCCTCCACCTTCTAAATGTAGGATTCTAGCTATAAGTGAAGGTATATATGTATTGGAAGTTAACATTTTCCTAAATTGAAAATGTATTTCCAATAATATTTACCTCTTCTCACACTCTCCTGCTCTTCCTCCCCACTTAGATCCAGTGTTAAAGACAGGGATGGAATCAGTCTTGAAAGAGTGATAAAATTATCTGAATGAGGTGTTTATATACAGTATCAGGATAGAGGATGCATTGACATATATAGAGAGTATCATGAGACAAATATTGCCTGGGGTATAAAAGACTGGAAAAAGAGAGAAACAAATCAGAACAATGCTTAGATGGCCAAAGGAAGAAACCCTGGTGGTCGAGTAATAGCTATAAGTGTGAGAGGAGATAAGTATTATTGGAAATACATTTTCAATTTAGGAAAATGTAAACTTTCTGATTTAAAGGTAAAAAAGTATCAATCGTTTCTTGATAGATTAGGGATTATTTGTAAATTTGGAAAGTTTTTCCTCATACCATTTATAATCTCAGTACATAATTTAGAAAATTGCTAAACTTGATTACTAGGTAGTATGAAATATGTGGGCTAAGTTGATTTTCCATAAATTTTGCATGTTATTTTCTAAACCAAAATTTGATCAAAATTTCTATATATAGGGTTCTCTCAGTTCATCTTAGTGTTTTCTCAGAGAACAGATTTCATTCATGTGTTAAGTTAAGCTATAGGTCTTAGCTTTTATAACAGGAGCTGATTCAGCTTGCATTTACCATCACTTAGGATAGTTGTGATGGTGTCCCTCTTTTTAAGGAAAAGATATATTATAGCAGTACAGAATTATATGAACTGTAATAGTGGATTGTTTCTTTGTTTCAAAAGATTATGATTAACTTCTGATCAAACCAATCTACCTTACGTAGATCAGAAGTAAAATTTAACTCAGTAATGAATGTATCTAACATAATGTACAGTCCTCTAATGACATAAGATGGTGAGCTGTGAGTTCAGCAAAACTAATCTGTTGTAGTGGAATATGGTGAATCAAAGGCTAGACCTCTACTTCACATTTTCTTCACTAAAATTCATTTTTTTGATGAAGAAAAGAAATTAACAAAGTAATGTACAGTTATTATTTATAATGATTAGAGTCCATTAGTTTATAAATTTTGGTACCCATACTGTTGATAGTATATTAGTTATAATCCCAATAATATCTCGCAAGGTTTTAACCAGCTTAAGAGATTGAGGTGAGTCTTAGATGCATATTCTAAGCTAATAATACAAAATATTAAACATTAGAAGCACTGCAACATTAAAGAAAAAATAAGATCTAACTTACTCTTAAAACACACAAAAACTTGTTTGCTTCATGCATCATCACCGATTCCCTGTCCATTGGTATATCTTTCAGCTTTTACATTTACTCTTACAAATCTTGGTTCTTTTGTCTTTCATTATAATTGCCAAGTTTAAGTTTTCCATTCGGGTTAATTAGTAGTCACTGAGCAATTAGTCTTTCATTTAGTTTAAATTAAATTTTAATTTATTTTACTGTACTGTAGATTTATTTGGCCTTTTGTTTCATTTTTATCTTTTCTGTTATTGTGAAAAAAATGTTTGTTTTATCATGCATGTTAGTCTAGTCTCTTTCACTTTCTAGTCACTGGCTTTTCCTTTCACCAATCAAATTTCTGGGCTATTATGTACTGAGTGCTCAAGCACTATATATAGATATAGAAGTTGTATTTGATTCTACAGTCTTTTATTAAAACTACTGAAAATTTTTAAGAATTTTTCATTCAGTTTTTGCCATGAAAAAGTTTCACACTAACTTGCCTTATTCTATCTCTATATTGACTGTTAACTTTGTAATTTAATAGTTTAATAGTTATTTTATTATTCCAAGTATCAATATTATTAATGTATTTAAAAGACCATTAGCAAGGATTCAATGACTATGAACAATCTATAAAGGTCTTTGCTTTATCAGTAGAAGTGAAGTGATGAGATTTATTAGTATATTAGCAGAAGCCCACAGAGCATTTACTGTCAAATTAGTATCTTTATTGCAAAAATACTACTTTAAATATAGAATTCCTAGAATAGTACAAAATAATTCTAATTGCAGATGCTGAAATCTGTAAGTCCACTTGTCTTAGGCCTAACAGTTGTTAAGTCTTTATTAAGTAAGGCCTATATTTTATATAGAGATAAATTAACATTGTTACTCGTTCAAATTTTTTTGCTTTAATTTAGTTAGGGTTAAACTTTACCATACTTAACACTATCAATAAATAAACTTGTAATGTTATTTTATGACCTTATGATAGACCTTTTTAAAAACTTTAAGCTTTTAATATGCTGTTGTACTATTAAAGTATATTTACATCTACCTTTTATATAGTAAAGTGTGTACACTTTTTCAGGACAGACAAAAACTAAACATTATTTAAGTGCATATGATGTTTCAGACAGAATATAACATTTTACCTTTCATGCAATTAATTTAACGTTTATTTTAATCTAGTATCAAGGTGCCAACTCTAGTGAGAGTTCTAGTGATGACAGAGGAACATGTCATCCCTTCATAAAAGGGCATGCAGTGAATGAAGATGTAATGAAATCCAGTAGTGATCCAGACTGCACTTCAAGCAGTGAACAGTCCTGTGACACAGTGATCTTCATTGGTGAACGAAGCCAAGGATTACAGAATAAGAATATAAAATCACACTCTTCACCTCCTCTTTCATGTAAGAAAATGGACAAACCTGGTAACCCATCAACAGAAGTTGCAAAGTTTCATCAAGCAACTTTAATTTCTCAAGGATCTAGAAGGTGCAGTACTTCATCTGCAGGTCTAACTAATGATCAAGACTCTTTAACACAACAGTGGTACAAACAAAATTCTCTACAAACTTCCACACAAATACAACCATTAAAAAAAATTGTTAGCAGTATTTCGGACCTGAATAGTGGATATCATCAAATGCCTTCCAAACATTGTTCACTAAATATGACACCACACAGTGGATTTCCAGTTTCTTTTTTAAGACTAATGAAAAATCCTGTCGGTGAAGATCTTGATCACAGTGCCCTGAGAGCTCAATGTTCTTCTCCCAAGGATCTTAGTTTGTACTGCCCTGAACAAACCTCATACTCAAACCACCAAACTGCACTACAGTTGCCAAGAAAATTGCCAGTGAAATATAAAATCAATATCTCCAAAAAAGAAAGAACTAATTTGTGCTCTTTTGGTGGATATACCCCTAACAAGCAGAGTGCATACCGAGATTCTACTGTTGAAAGTGATGAGTTGTGGATTGATGGTCCTCGATTTCTAAAACCAAAAATTGAGAATAAAAGCATTCATTCCTTTCAGGAAGAACAGTGGATAGATGGACCAGGGGTTTATGGTTTTGCTGATGACTTCAAAAAGAATATGATTAAAAAATGGGTTGAAGACCATTCTCATCATGTTCAACATGTCAAGGAAATGAACTGTGAAGTGTGGGTTGACTTTCCATCTGAGGAGCATAGTGAATCTAATAAGTTTCTCAATGACTTCAACAAGGAGTATAATCTAGAGGAAGAGAACAAAAACTATGATCATGAACATCACAATAAACAAAGCTTTTCAGCTTTCAAAAGGATGAATGAAAGTAGATTAAACATAGCTGATGAAATTAACTCAGGTATAAGGGAAGAGAAGAAACCAACAGATGTGGATAAACAAATAGATAAGTCATCAGCAAAAACAACTGAATATTCTGTTTCTATACATCATGAATCATTTAATGACGATAAAAGAGAAGAAAACGGGTTTCAAAATTTCTGTGATTCTCGAATGTCAGATGTTGGTAACTTCCAGCTTGTTTCTGAACCTGAAACAATAAACACTCGAGCTATAGAAGAAGAATTATCATTGGAAGTGTTGAATAAAACAAGTGACATATTGAAGGAGCACAAAGTTTGTGAGATTACTGAAAAAGTTGAAAGTTTAGATAAGAAAGATCAAGAAAAGGCTGTTCAAGTACAAGACTCTTGTCTTCAGGTTAATGAAGAAGATATATTGGACTATATTCTTTGTGATTCATCAGTTTCAGAAAATCTTGCTTTAGAAAAAGACCAAGAAAGTTTGGATGGTAGTCAGCATCCACTTAGTATTTTGAGTAAAGAAGACCTTAACTTGCCTTCTTCCTTCACAGACTCACAGTCTGTTAGTGTTGACTTGGACAATATTAGCATTTTTGATGGAGGGGAAGAGGAACTGAATCATCATGTAGAAGATATGATGTGGTGTCATCTTCAACAAAATATCTTCCAATGTGAGCTTGAAAAACAAAAGAAGAAAACGATAGAAAATATACCTTTTTCAATACATAGTGACACTCTCACACATAAACTGAATAGGGTAGCCTATCTTCAAGATATTCCCCTCTGCCTATGTAATGAAAAGAATGTACCTTCAGATTCATACAGTTTACCAGATTATGTCATTCAGCCAAGCTTTTCTCACAAGTTTTGTAACAAGAACAAAATTTCCAAAAGTGAACTCAGAAAGACAGATATTACCAGCACTTTGAGTGAACCTGCAGATCTACACTTCTTTAAGTTAAATATGAAACCTATGAATGTATTGAAACTGGAAGCTTCTTATACTAAGCTTTTTGAAAGTTCAAAAAAGTGGAGACCAACACAGGTTGTTATGCCTATGATACATTCTCTTAGAGAAAAATCTGCTTCACTGACAGACTTGGAAATGATAGATTTGCAGAAAATGAGCAAATCACAAGAACAAATGTCAAAATTACCATTTTTTCATGCATTTCCAAAACAAGGTTGGACATGCAAACAACATAGAACTTGCAGTTCTTTCAAATATTCACAAGAACTCCAGCCAAATCTTATTAGAAATCTAAGTCATCCTGATGGTTCCTCAAATTCAGAATTAAATAACTGTTCTTCAATAAATGAAAGTTTTTCATTAAAGATACCTGGACAGCAGTACATCAGCTTATCCAAACCAATAATTGAAAAAGTCAGGAAGGAACCATCTCGTTTAATGGACCAGAATAAAGATGTTATTTTCACAAACAAGCTACCTCAAAATATATCCAAAGATTTGAAACAGGCAAATGTCAACACTGAATTAGATTTTCCAAATCAGCATATTGATCATCAAGAAGAGTGCACTGATATGTATTTTTCAAAATCCAGCAGTGCCCTTGAATTTGCAAAACATAAGCATCATATAAATTCAAAATGCTTACTAAAATCAGAGAAACATACCAAGTACTCTAAGAGTACTCCTCCATCAGCTTCTCCTTTGATCCACATTGAAGAATCAAAATGTCCAGGTACCAGTTTGAAAACTGAACTATTACATCTTCATGAAGGGTATGAAAACACTATTTCTTTCCAATCACCTTACAAACCAAAGAATAATCTTCAGTCACCATATGCAAAAATTACAAAGGCTCGCCCAAACAAACATGCTAGTAGTGGTCGTGGAAGTGACAGTAGCATTCAGAGTGTTGAATACTCGAAGAATATACCTGTCAGTAAGAAATTGCAATTTTCTGGAACAAGTAGTGGTTATGAGAGTATGATGCGGGACAGTGAGGGGACACTCGTGTCTTCCAGCCAGGAATCAGCTGAAGAAGGAGACACATCTGAAAAACAAGGCAGAAATGGATCAAAAACTAGAGCTCAAGGTAATGTTCAGTGATAGAAATAAAAACTCCACACAAATAATTTGTCATTTTTAAATTAAACCGTAAAAGTTATATTAACTTCTGTTTTCACAAATACATTTCCTTTTATTATCTTCCTTTGAAAGACGTATATGTAGGCCTGAAAATGCTAATGAAAGGTATTTTTATTGCATGCTTTTCTCTAATATGATCACTTGGAAATGTGAATAAAGGGTATTATATTTCATTTCATGAATAAATCTTTTTGTTGTTAAGCATTTTGAACTAAGCTCATAATATGTATGACTTAAAATATTTATGAAAGGAATTATTGTATCACACTTTTGAACTAAGAATGTGATACATATGTTTTAAAAGGTATTGTTGGCAGTAAAGGCACATACCCGAGGCTAATTTTACAATATGAATAATAAAAAATAGATATTATAACCCCCTAAGTTCATGATAGGTATGTTGGTAAATGTTAGTGAAATATATTATTGTGACATAAAATGTAGTTCATGAAGGATTTGAACTTTTTAGATTAAAGGTACTGTTTTTCTAATACAATTAAAGCTTATGATATATAGGTATAGAAATGTAAATTAACAGTATTTTTTTCACACTTCAGACTTAGGTTATAATGTAAAGGTTTCAATAAATTACTGAAACATAGTTGAAAGCAGTTTAGTTTAAACTACTGATAAGTAATTTTGTGAAGTTTAGTGAAAGATATGTTAGTATGTACTTTTGGTGTGTAAGTTTCAAAATGTTAATTATGAGAGAGAGTGTTGTCATACACTTTAGTTTATAATTACATGATGTAGTTATGGAAATATTGAAGAATTTTGTTGAAATAAGCTCATTAATTGTAAAATTTTGTGTGTTCATGGAAGGTACTATTACCATGTGTTTCAACCTAAACTCGGATGTAATTATTTTGGGGAATGTTAGTGGAAAATTAAAGTTTGTGACTCACTTAAATGCCTCTATGTTCAACCAGGGAACTAAAAAAAATAACAGTTTTGAAAATTTTACTTTTTAACTAAATATGTAGAAAGAATAGTAAATCTCCATACTACAATATTCAAGCCTTTCATCCAAATACATCAGTTTTGTTTTGCTGTGGGAGTGTTATACTGTGATGGTTAATCCCACTTTTTCTTGGTAAAGAGTAGCCCTACTATCTTCCTTTTAGTCTGTTTCTTCAAAATTAGGGGGCTGCTAACACAGACAGTGCTCAAGTAGTTTTGCACAAAATTCAACAAAATGAGCAAAACACCAGTTTTCTTATTTCTGCCACTTCATAACTGATCATATGTTACATTGTTCAGATAGATTTATAGTTTGATCTCAAACATCGTAAATGTTTAAAACATCTGTCAGTTAGTCTAAACTTGTATTATTGTATAAAGAAACACAAAAATAGAATACAGGCTTAAGTTTAAAATAAAAAACTTTGTATTTCTGAATGTGCTGTTTTTTCCACAAGATTTTGATCAACGTATAAAAATCATTACAGTAGGTTCTTAATTGCTACCATGTTTTATATCTTTACTGATATTTAATTAAATCATTAGCTAAAGGGATTAATTAGTAAAACTATCAAATTCAATCCAAACAGAAAAACTTTTAAAAAATTCCTTGAAAATATTAACTAATTAGTTATTTTGTTTGCAGGCTCTGGTCATCGCAGCCAATCAGCCATTGCTTGTTCAACCTCAAAGAAAAAGACTTCACAATCTTTAATGTCTCAGCTGATTACAAAACAACCTCTGGCATCAGGTACAGTGTCACAATACCATAGTAATGGACTATGGAAGCTTGAAGAAGAAATGTGTTGCAGTGGACTTCTATGCTGTGGTGTTGGCTTCCGCCATATTGCTTCTGATATTACACATGTTTAGTGCTTTTATCCCCTGCTAAATTTTTATTCAAAAAATATATTGCTGCTATGAGGAACTGGATGTCTATAAAATGTACTCTACAAATACAATTGCAAAGCTGTGCTGTGCTGTAGGAAACTTAACGAAAATCTAGCAAAATAAACTTAAAATCACATGCTTGGGACTCATTAATCTATTAGAGACCCCAAAAGTGGAATTGTGAAGATTCTGAAACTGAAACATGACTACCTTATTGAAGAGCTGGCTAATGCTAATGGTGGATCCTTCACGAAGCAACTTTGAATGTGAGTAAACACTCTACATAGGCATTCTTTTATTGTATTCAAAGCAACATTTAATGGCCAAACTTCCTTCATTGACTCCCAGCTTTAATTTATTAATTATGTGGTAAACTTCTTTCGTCTTTTCTCCCTCACAAGAAAAATAAATAATTGTTGATCTTCTCTTTGCTGAGAACATGATTATATATAATTGAATTGTGGTTATCACATTTGAATGAACTTTTATGTGTGTTTATAGCTATCTACTAGTTGATCCAGTATACTTAGAGTTACATATAATACATTTAAGTACAAGGGTTATCTGAAAAGTTTGTGGCCCGACCTATAATGAAAAGAGAGACTGTTTCAACTATGGTTTATGTTTCAACATAACAACTTCCTGGGTCTATACACTTGTGCCAACAGTGGTTTAAGGCCTTTATGTCCTTCTGAAAGAACTCTTCTTCTTGACCCTCAATACATGACTGGACAAGATCATCATCACTATGAAATCTTCGACCTGTCAGGAAGATATTAAGGTTAGGGAAGATAAAAAAAGTCACTTGGGGCTAAATCTGATAAGTCAGAGGGGTGATTGAGTAATTCAAAGCTGGCATCATGGATAGCATTGGGACATTAACCTGATGGAAGAGCACACCTTTTTGTGTAATCCTCTTATCTTCTCTTTGATTTCTTGATGCAAATTGTTGATTAAGTCTACTGTAATGGTTTGACCCATTTCCAAATAATTAACTACTAAATTTCCTTGGTATCCCAAACAATTGATGCTATGACCTTCCCAGAAGATGGTTATGACTTGAACTTCTTTGAGGTGGGTGAACTTGGGTGTTTTCATTGCAAACTTTGCATTTTTGACTGTGGGTCAATGTGGTGAACCCATGTTTCATCCATAATTATGAATCTGTTGAAACCTTTTGAGTAGATGTTGGCCTTCAACAACTCAGATCCTTTTCTGCTTAGGTGACAGTATTTTTTGGAACCCATCTGGCACTGACTTTACTCATGCCAAACTGTCATTCAAAATCCTTACTACAATACTTTTACTGATTCCCACTTCCTCTGCTATCTTCTTAATGGTAATTATTTTATCATATATAACCAAATCATGCATATTATCTACAATTTCTGTTGTGGTTGATTTCAGGGCCTGACCTGACCTTGGATTGTCTTCACATTATTGTCTACCAAGCTTAAACTCAGCACCTCACTTTTTCACTGTTGAGTATGTCAGAGCATCCTCTCCTTGTGGATTTCTTGCAGTGTTATTTTCTTTTTAACCAAATATTTTATCATGACACAAACTTTGATCTTGCTCACTTCTTTCTTTCAAACATCTGCAACACAAAATAAGCTTGTTAAGTTATATGTTATGAGTTTACTTTAGTGGTGTACTCCTCACACTGAGGCTTTTGCTATGTTCCTTATTTATAGTTTACCTGGGTTTTGGTCTCCAGTTCCTCGTCTTTTTGCTCTGGCTATCGATGTTTTCAGCCAGGATTGAACCTATATATTTGTCTATCCTCCTACTTTCCTTCTTCTCCAGGTGATTTCATTCATCCTTGACACTTCATGTTCAGTCCTTCTGATAGTTCTTTCTTGGCCGTCTCAGCTGTGGTTTCTGTGGCTTCTCCAGCTCCAATTTCCTCCTCTGTCACTTCTTTGCAACCCTCAGTCACTGGTGTTTCATCTAGGCCTTCCTGCCCTCCATCTTCACTCCTGGTTTTTCTCTGAAGAGGTGATCCGGCTTCTCCTGATGGTTAGCCTCTTTTCTGACTTTTTATTCGCCCTTCCTACATGGAAGTTTCTCAATGCAAATAGAATATTTCTGTCGTTGGTTTCTGGGTGCAGGGTTTCTCCTTGTCAACCCACTGTTCTTCATCATGTCGATTTCCTCTCTTGACTTTTGGATTGGGGGTCTTCTGTCACCATAACTTTTCATTACCATTTCATCTTCATCGTCCTTTGGAGATACTTCTTCAATTGGGCATGTGATACATTCATCTCTTGCTATTTGCATAAGATAACAGTTCTCTTCCTCTTTGGATTTTCATCTTGTGCCTGTTGTCATTCTAGAATATCAGAATTCAGTGAGACTTTGACTGGGTAAGTTATTTTTTTTTCTTATTTATCCTTTTCAGGGGCTCTTTTTCCTTTTATCAATGCTCATTATTTGGAACCCACTCTGTGGCAAGTGGTGCCTAATCAGGTATTCTTTAACTGTTCAAATTCATACTGTCAAGCCATGTTGACTTGTATATTATAATTCCATGGTCATGCAACACACACTGTAGAGATGGGGTGTTCCACAACATCACTTGTAGGTTTATACTCACGATAGAATTGCTTCATAAGTTTGCCCGTCCCCATGGACTACATGGGTAAAACAGAAGGGGATAGCTGCCCATCCCTGCCATGCCTTTTATTGAATAAATTGATATGGTCTGCTGTTAAAAATAGGGTTTCGTGGTTGCACACTGCACTGTCTCAGATGTTGTCATTTCTCCAGACTCTCCACCACACTTTACCCCCCCCCCCCCGCCCTTTTCTTCTAGTGGAGTTTGAGAGTCCATACCACTTTCCAGTTCCAAGCTGATGGGGTGGTAGACTGTGGTGGCATTCTTCTGAATGGGTTAATGAAGTACAAACAAAATATAGAAATTATTATACAACCATTCAGTTGAGTGTAGGACTGTGGTGATATCCTCCACTATGAAACATTAAAACAAATGGGAGTGAGACATCAAAATTGTAGCTCACCCCTTCGAATGGGATTCCTCATCCTACCTACATGTGGATGTTGGTTCCCAGTGGCAAGGTTTTGGATTTAGAGTAGAAACAATCAACATCAGTCCTCACACATGTTTTACAGATGTCTATATTCCTCCCTCATTTATACTCCATCAGTGTTATGGGTCATGGTGGAGGTAATTGCAGATTGTTATGGTTCTTTTCCTTCTGCTATCTCTCAATGTTTCTTATTCCAAGGATGTTAATGCACTTGGGGTGGTTCTGGTCAATATTACTTTTGAGAGAGAGAGGGTTTAAATTATGTAGACATCTTTTCAATACCAGATGTCAGATCCCCAGATTAATATAAATTTATCATATTCACATGTGCCCTGTTCATGAGTCAGGTGGTACTAGATTTCCCAAGGTCTCATGAACTTGAGATGAAGATGGTATGATCCTCTTTCCTACCCCCACGTGGATGTCTGTACCTAGCGGCTTTGTCCTGGATTGTACTTGACTTGTCGTATATGATCTGTCTGCCTTAGCCACTCTACACCTAGGGACATATCCTTTTCATTTTACCAGCTTTTATAATTTCTGGGATTGAGTTTCATAAATGTTGCATGGTTCGGATCACTTTGCAGCCATAGTTCTCTTGCAGTTAGATGTACAACTCTGTTTTCTGCCCATATATATATATATATGACATCTTTCTATATATCATGGGCAAAGAGTATAGCTGGTTCAGAAGTTATGCAGTTCCCCACATCAGATCTTAGAATCTGACTGTCTCATCTTAGGAAGTGTCCTTTGGACCCTTTCGAAGGATCCTCTCTTTCTTTCTTTTGCACAGCTCCCTCCATCTACTCATTGTGGAATTCTAGCTATTTATGTGAGAGGAGTTAATTTACCGTATCAGAAGTTATAATTTTCCTACACTGAAAATCTTCCTCCTCACTGTTCAACAGTGCTTCCATCTTCTGCCAAAACTCGAAGTGATAGTTCAGTCGAATTGAATAGAGGGATTCACGTGTCAGGATAGTATGTCGCACTCTTATTGGTGGAGGGTTGACACATCATGATTTGCATGAGCAACACATTGGAACCAGTCAATTCCAATGGAGGGGAGACAGAGGGCTTGTTGCATGCATAATTGTTTTGCACATAGATGGCAGCACTGAACACTAGAATAGCTATTTATGTGAGAAGTGGTAAAGTATCTATTGAAAATATATTTTCAATGTAGGAAAATCATAACTTCTCTCATATACTTAATGGGGATTGGTGGCCAGTTATCAATTTATCTTACCTCAACTGCTTTATCACAACTCCCAAGTTTACCATTGAGTCTTTTCTCATCCTGAGATAGGTGTTTTCACCTGGATTGTGGATGACAAAAATGGATGTTTTCAATACTTACCTTCACATCCTGATTGCCCTTATATTTGACTTATCCATCTTGGGGTGGTTTACCAATTTTGAGCCCTTCCCTTTGGACTTGCATCGACTCATTATGTATTTTGTTGCATTGTCTTGGCATTTGCATGTCATCTTCATGCTCTGGGGATGAAATTTCATAATTACATGGATGACTGGCTCCTGTTGGCTCATTCCAAACAGGAATTGGCCACTCATACCTCCTAACTCCTTTCTGTGGCAGCTCAAGCAGGCTGGAGGAGTTGATTCCATTTGATGGACATCTAGTCACTGTGGCATACCCAGATATCTACCTTACATTTCAGCCCTTGTGCATGTCACACTGTCTACAAGAGCAAAGAGTATACCTGGCTCAGATTTTTGTGATGCCTTGTAGTAGTTTAATCTATGTACTTCAATTAAATGTAACAGTATACTTTGACCATAAACAAGGTCCTAATATATGCTATTCAGTTAAACCAAAAAATTAAACATTGGGAAAATCTTTGTCCTTCTAGTAAGTCTACCAAGTTTTTAAGGATAAGAAATTACTTGATAAATGGTCTTAAATTAACTTTATATTTCCTGATTTATTTTATTACTGCCAGCTATAGTAATTTTATTGGTGAAGAGTCTTGCATACATTTCACAATATTGTTTCATAAATATTTTTCTTTGCAGGGCTTCTTTTGGAAAAAATGGCTGAACATAACCCTTGTGTTATTAAAGCCTGGGAAAAGAAATTCATATCCTTAAGAAGAAAGTTATTGCTTAGAAGTATTTTATCATGACAGTAACATGTTTCACTGTACATCAGTAATGACAATGATCCAATTTTTCCAGTATTTGATATATTACATATGTTAATTAGTGCTTGCAAAAACTGGTTGTTATATTGTTTGAAAACATTAAGAACAATATTTTTTCATACCTGCATTTTTCCTGCAAATAATCCAAAGTATATTAATCATGAAGTACAAGTTTAGAAAAGGTTTTATAGTTTACATTTATATATTTCAGCATTGTTTATATTATAACCTAGTAATTATGAAAAATTTCCTCTCTTTATAAAATTGCACATAATATAGCCATCTGTTTATTCTCAACATTTTTTTTTATCTCCTAAATGTTTTTACATAGGGTTGTTCACAATCTGTGGTAACATTTTTAATGATACAAGTGTAAATTTTCTCTGGCTAGACATTGTAGCCCTTGCCTTTCATTCATCACCATTAGTGTTCTAAGTGATGGACTTTTACTCTGCAGCCTGGTGGTAGAGCTATGGATTTCAGAACTGGGTTTTAATCTGTGAGATACCACAAAATATTACCTGCACTTTAAGCTGTGGAAGTGTTATAAAAGTGATAGTCAATCCCTTAGCATGGATGATGGGTGGTAGGGTTCTCTGACTGTTTGCCTTCTCTCTGGTCAGTAGCTCAAAATTAGTGATGATAACAAACAGCCTTAGTTATTTTCCATAAATACAAATACAAAAATTATTCAGCAGCTCACTTGTGCAATATACATGGTTAATGTTGTTACTTTTCCTTTTTGCAAACATTTCAAAATCTATCAACTATGTGTGCTGAATATGACTTCCAAGGTGTCATTTGAACAACCCAAAAACACAGAAGTCCATGGGAGATGTATGTGAATAGTATAACATAAATTCTCATTTGTATTTACATATTGTGGGAAAATTTGGCATGTTGACTTGGGTGTGGGTTCAGAATTTTATCTGGATGGGTTCATACCATAATGGTAGCAGCATGTTAGGCTGACAGTGTGCATAGCTCACCCGGATATTTTTCTCAAGCCTACAGATGTAAAACTTTTTCATCACATGCTTCATTTCTTAAGGTTGTAACACCAGCAAGATAATGATGAATTGCCTAGATTTTTACAGATGCTTAAGTAGACACGTGTACTTCATCCAAAATGACAATGCATATCTTTGTCATGTGCAAATACTGCTTCTACTATAGCTTTGAAAGTTTGTCTTCTGTTTGTCTATGTGCTTTTGGAAAAGCTTTTGAACACAGTTCTTGTGTCACTTTTGTAGACCTTGACCTCTTTAAGTTATCTTGTTTATGGTTCAAATAATGTTCATACTTTAGTAGCTGTAGTGGCCTGATGTGTTCTTGGTTTATTTCCAGTGACAACCAGTTTAACTTTTTTTTTTTTCAGTACCTCTAATGTATGACTGGTTGTCAATTATAATCATTGAGTAGCCTGTTGAAACATGATATCCATTCTTTTACCAATACATTTCAACAATATATATATGTCCATTCCTTCAAAATACTAAAATTACATGATTATGTATACTTTTATAACCATATAATATGAAAACTTTGTATCATAAAATCCAGTAATGTCATTCTTCTAGGAGGGATCATTATATAGAGGTGAATTATTGTTGTAACTTTTTCCAAGTATGTCTTTAACTAGATTGCAAAAATAAACAAAGATATCAGGGCTTTTAACTTGTGTAGTCACAGGCTACAGCAATGGCAGAGGCAATATGATTGGATAAGCAAATTGGGAACATCCTTCTGTATATTTGCTACTTGAGATTGAAAACTTGTTTATTGTGAATTGTTAAATTATAACAATATTGGTATCATTGGCAAACAGGTATTTTATTGAGTTTTACAGTGGAGTAATAGATTCAATAGCTTGTATAATGAATTAATTAGAAGCAAATGCTGATAAACAAGTAAATGATTCAAACTATAATATCACTAATTAGTGAGTAAGCAGTAGTTTTCTTTACGGCTGTAGAGATGGGTTTTTGCAGTGCCTTTATATTCCTATGCATCATATCTTTTAAACTAGTACCTTTACTAGTTGTAAAAAATGAGTTTTGTATGGTTATCATTTGTAATGAGTGTTCATATTTATTGTATAATTGCAAACTTTGTAATGTATTTGTATATGAGTATTATCATTTATTTTGTATGCCTTTTTAGAACAGTTTTACTTGCATTAATCTAACAGAAACGTTTGGAAATAAAATTTCCTAGAAAGTAAATCACCACATAAGATTACTGTAAATATATATATAGAGAGAAAGTTAATATAAACTTTTAGTAAATAACGTACTTGGTTGCCTGAAATTTTATGTTTGGTGGGGTAAGATGGCAGTGTGTTACAAAACCTAATACACTGGCTGGCCACATTATTAGCAACTATGTACTTGTCCAGTTTTGGGCCTGACCTGAGCTGTAAATATAAATTAGGTTGATCACATGATGAATCAGGTGATTCCTGCAACATCATAAATGAGTGGGACAAACACATTTGCACTCAGTCTGACAGATTTGGGGAGGGGAAGACAAAGATACTGCAACATTCAAAGAGGCACAATAGTTGGAGATTGCCTATCAGTTGTCACAATGGCCAAGACAGTTGTATTGACAGGCAGATCCAAGACATAGGTCATTTGAGTTTATCGGTATTGGAAAAAGTTGAATAAAATGTCTGCTGTGTGGGAGAATTATTGACATAAATGCATAATGACAGCAGAGGAGAAAGACAGTTAAACAGGAAGGTAAAAGCCAACCATCATAAAATACCAACTGACAGACATTCAGTTGTCACTGAGAAACTTATAACGTTGAAGTTAGCTTATGTGGAAATAAAGTCATATGTTAGATTGTATCTTATTTGTGCACCAACATGCTTTTACACTGAGTTATAGTAATCTGAAAATAGAATAATACAAAAATGTTAACATGTCTCATTAGTCTATATGGAAACCTGTTTCAAGAATGAGAAATAGTATGTTATTTTTTACATTTCATCACATGTATACAGATGGTAATGCTAAATCTTCAGGATTTTTTTTTCAAACCAAAAGAGATGACACTTAAAAAAACAACACTAATCTACAGATTAGGAAAGAACTGAAAATAACGCATCTAGTAAAGCTCAGAATAAATAACCATATCCACCCGGAGGTGAATTGTGGAGGTTGAAAACCGTCGGGTAAAATATTTTTATACCTGTTTTCCAACGAAGTCGTGGAGAGAGGAATTTCTGAGAAAAATAAGAGGGTTGCTGTGAAGCCTATAATATGTACTAATACTATTCACACAAGTATAACATAAAATTTTCAAGTCTTATAAAGATAAGTATGGATCGATATATACGTAACCTAGTTGGATATAGTCACATAGAAAGTTTTAATGCTACAAAAAGTATTGAAACAAGAAAGTCAAACTACAAAAACTGAGTTACTTAAGTTTTAAAAAAAATTCCCTAATTTGGCAAATTACTGTAATTATGTTAGTTTGAGCCAAAGTATTTAGCGATTTAGGCAGCTTTATAAGCACAATGAAATATAGTTTTATACAGCCAATGCTGGAAAATAGTCATTATTAATATTCAAACATTTTAAAAGTGGTTAAACGGACGAATTTTTTTTGGCTGCCATTTTGTTTCATCACTATCCATACTATTGTTACGTCTCCGATTGTCAATTGATTTTCCGTAACTTCGTTCCGACGAAACTTAAGCGACACAAGTTCCCTCCTAACAAAAACTGGTTTATTCTTTCCGAATACAACTTTACACTCAACTTCAACAATCGCGCTAAACAAACGCTATAACGACGAACGTGCTCAGTAATACTTCTGACTGCAGTTCAATTACTCACTGTCTATCCACACATTACAATATCCTAGCGTCACGTTGTCCCCTCTTATATATACCCGCCTACCCTATATCTAGTAAGAACTAGAACATTCGCCAAAGTACAGGATAATTCTAGAAAGTAGAGAGCGTGAGAATCACATGATCTCGATGACGCAACACTATTAAATACTACCGTACTTATTATATAATGACTTATAAAACCACAAAAGTACATGAACTGAAACTAGTTCACACATACACAATTTAAAAGAGTAATGTAATTACCCGTTTGTTACTCATCAACCGTTACCGGGAAATTTGGTTCCCTATTTAAATAGTGTTTTTAAAAAAAATTGCAATTTGTTTCGATGATCGCCATTGCCCTGGCGACTAAATTCACCCTTGATATGACCAAATGAATCATTAATGCTAGAGTAACGTGATGCCGATTTTAAACGTTTAAGAGATTAAACTGATTGACTAAAGGCATTAAATAACAATCCACTTCTCAAGCAGTGCACCTCTCAATTTCAAATAACTTATTATTTCATCAAGTTTTCGAAATTACACTTTTAGCTAAGTTAGAATGATATGATCCAAATTACACGTGTTTGTTTTGTGTGCCGCGATCTTTCTAGAAGTAAATATCCTCTTAAAGATTTTTTTTCATTAACCAGAAAATATTCATTGTTAAAAATAATATAACATCTACTTTACTCGTATAATAATTTTTCAAAGTTTTAGAATCCTTAATATTTTTGATAAATGAAACTTTATATAATATAAAAAAATATGGTTGAAATCTCTCCAGGGACAGTTGTTTAACTTTTAATATCGGATAATTACAGAAATATAAGTCTGTCAAAACAATACTTTACTACATTATTATCTCATATTTTTATGCATAATATTAATATAAATACTTTACAGAAGATAAATAGAAAAAAAAACTAAGCTTCATCTTCTGATTATCTTTTTTAATCTCTTCATTCGATATACTTTAGAAAATTATCCCCTCTCTCTATACAGTGGAATAACGGTATTACATCCAGATTTGTAACGACATTTTCATGAGATTTGTTGAATCACTCATGCATTTTTGTTTATACCCCCCCCCCCCATATGAGGGTGGATTAATAACGAAAAATAGGGACTTAAAATACGGGGTTCGATTCGTCGCGGTGGACACATCAGATAGCTTATTTTGGCTTTGCTCCAAAAGAAACACACAGCTCTATCCATCTTTCATAATTTGATTATAAATTGCAGTATACGGTAAACTCTTAAATTCAAAGTCAAAAATAGTGTTTTATTCCATAATTTCATTCGAAGCATATTCTAATGTTAAACAGATTCTAAAGACCGTGGTTTGTCCTCCTTGAAAAATAATGAATTCCGTCATGCGTACATTACTAAAGCTGTTTATTCAAAGTAACTTTCAATACTTTTGGTTATGAGTCAATAACGTATGAAAAAAAAAGAAGTCCTTTTGTAAATTACTTCCTGTTCTGTATATCTTGTGTAAATAGAATGAACAGAATTACTTAGTAAAAGAGTGCCTAGATGGTTATTTTCGCATCTAATTATTGGTTATAAATTTAAGCGTGTTAAATTTTTGATGCAAAACTAATATTTCTCATTCACAACAACAAAAGTAAAAACTAAAAATGGGCGAATTCTATTATGGAAACAGACAAGAGATGTATCAAAGTACTAGATTTGTTATTGTTCCGCATTGCAATTACACACGCTACTTCAGTGGTAGTAAGAACACTGGTATTTTCAGGTAAAACCGGTTTTCCAATAAGTATTGGATAAGCAAAGCCACAAATAATAGCAGATTTGATCAAGAAATATGGGAAATTCCACTAAGAGTAAAAATAAGGTAATTGTATAAATGAACAAAATGATCACAACAAACATATTGAAACGCAATGTACATACCTACATAGCCCTTTCCACTAGGCTATGTTTAGCTCCACAACTTCTCTCCCTCAGAAATATTCTCCACCGAACTTAACACATTTTTTTTTTTACAGAAGTCTTGACAAACTTCTAGTTCAAACAAGCTAAAGAAAGCGTGCCTGAATTCAACAAGAAAATGCTCGACAGTATCACCCTTTGACCTTTATTTCTTCACAGCGTTGATTGGCTGTTGATGTAATCAAAGTCATAATCAGCCATCACAGAACCAATCCTTTTACCCTGGATGCTATGTATTACTGCAATATACTCTCACGCAGAGGAGACGAGTTGTTTGTTTGTAATTAAGCATAAAGCTACACAGTGGGCTATCTGTGCTCTGTCCATTACAGGTATCGAAACCCGCTTTCTAGTCTTGTAAGTCTGCAGACATACCGCTGTGCCACTGAAGGGCACAGTAAAGACATCATCTACTATAGAGAACAAAGAAACGAAGCAATTAGAATAAAGCAGTCTTTTCAATTTTCTGTTGTCGTCATTACAGCACAGTAACTAAACAAAAAATGATAATAAATATTTATCATTAAAGCAGGTAGAAAACACTATATGCCCGCATATCACAACTTCATTTCTGCAGTCATATTGGCAGTATCACTCATTTTTTCAGACACGGAAAGCTGGTAATTATTTATGCTTTCATATCAGCTAATTGTAATCATGTGCCGGTCAGTAAGTAAACATACAGACACATTACGAATAAAGATGTTTGTGTTGCTTGCACATTTGTGCTTTTTTTTTCTTTTGTAACCTTAGGTCATTATTATTCTCTACGTATCATTTCTGGAACCTATGATTTACGGATAGTTATAACTTTCTGTAGAACACCAGAGTACCTAAAAGTCACAACTGCACAATACATCCAGCAGTATCACCAAAAAGTCAAACTGCATTTCACAAACACACAAATTAATCCCAAAATACAAGTTCTGTGGAAAAAATAACTACAAAGCACTACTCCTAAGGTAATATCCTAGAAGTGATGGTGATTACTCCAACAATTCTAATTCTGTCCCCCCATGAGCTGTGATCAGAACTGATCTCAATGCGACAAAACTTGTTACTCAACAAAATGACTTTAAAGGAATATATTAACTAACTTAATTTACGTTACTTTAACACTATGTTGCACAATACATAATTACAACAACACTTCGACAATAAATTAGATTACCAAAGTACATGAGGAAGAATTTATATAGATAGAGGATGTAAAAGCATCAATTAAAAAGTCGCTTCTAACAGCAAAATAATTACTCAAAAATCAGAGCTAAAGTTGTAAGACGTGATTAACAATCTATGAAATTCTAACAGGAAAGAGCAGAATATAACGTAAGACATGATTAATGCTGTTTTTGAAATTCTAAGAGGAAAGAGCAGAATATAACGTAAGACATGATTAATGCTGTTTCTGAAATTCCAACAGGACCAGGGCAAATCTAATAACTTTCCTACTGAAAAATACAAAGAAGTCTAAGAATA